AAAAAAAAAACAAGAAACATTACTTGATAATTTGGATCATGCGTACCAGCTAATCCACCTTCAATTGGTCGTTTGGGCAGTTGCGCATGCGCAAGTGGAGCATGTTCATAAGGGTTTGGTTTTGCTATAATGTGTATTGTTTAATGTATGCAAACATTAATAGTACCATTTACACTCTCTTATCAATTTTAACAAATTTACCAACTTTGTAGCTCTGCTTCATTCAACTTCTCTTGATCACCATCAGCTTTTGGAATTAATTTCTTTCTCTTCTTTTTCTTTTTCTTTTTCTCAAATAATTCATTCATTGATAATTTAGAGGAAAAAAAAAGAAAAAAAAACTTACAAATGATATTTGATAAAAACTTACATTCATTTTATAACTATTTGGAAAAAAAAATATGAAAGAAAAAAACTACAAAAGTTAAAATTATTAAGATCTAGCAGTTTTTACAATGTTATCATTTATCATTTTATTAATTAATCATTGATGAGATAAAAATTGTTGGAAATACGGAAAAAAATTATAAGAACTTGACAATTATTAATTTCTGGTTGGTGTAAGAAATTAAAATTATATAATTATCATATTCATTTGACTAATTCAAATATTCTCATTCCACATATTATCATTTATTATTATCAATTAATAAGTGATAAAGAAAAAAAAATGCTTGAATTACAATTTTATTAGCTCTAAAATTTATTAATTTAAATAAGATCTTGGTGAGGAATTTGAAATGAATTAAAAAAGGCAATCAAAAACTAATCATTTGAAAAAAAAATCAAAAATTTTTTCTTTCTTTACAACTTACTTTGCAGCAACAGCAACACATTGGCAAAGTATATGTTACAATTGGTAAAAATTGTAGTGTAATATATATGATGATAATAAATGGAATAGAAAAATCGAGTAGTAATGATATTGTAGTAAATGTTGCATCCATCATTTTTAATTCCTTTTAACAAATTTCCAAAAAGTGTTTCTTTTTTTTTTTCTCTTCCTCCTTCTTTTCTTTCTTTTACTCTTCCCTCTTTCTGTTCCAATTATCTACAGTATGTATAATTTTGATTATTTGAAAGCAAAAAAAAAAAAAAGGAAGTTCTTGTCATATTTATAACTTATATAGGTTAATATTACTATCTTATATGTCTCATTATGATAGACAAAAATTTATGTAATTTATGGTTTGTTTGCTTAATTATCTAATCAGTGGTACAACCGGTTATTGAAGAAATTTTCTGAGTTCCCAGAAAGAAAACTTTTTTTCATGTAAACGATTAATTACCAAATCACTAAAATCACTAAAAAGAATGGATTCTCTTTTTGGATGACAACAAATAGTTGGAAATCATTAGATTAATAATGTAACTGCAAATAAAATTTCGATTGAATAATTTCATCTAGTAAAGTTAACTTGTATAAGAAGGATTGTCGGAGAAAAAGGGGACAAAGATTCCAGGTGAATTTATGCTAAAAATTTTAAATTTCACAGTAATTAATCAGTTAACTAATTAAGAAATTAAGAATGATTTCGCAAATAAGAGCAATAATTTCACAGGAATGGATAATTTGCAACAATTTGATTTAGTAATATTTTAGACACGAACTTCTCCCAAGTTTTTATAAATATATCCGATATTTTATGATGCAACCACTTACTAAACAAGAATAAAATTCAAAACAATCCAATACTATTGTAAATGAAGGTTTATATGTGAAATTTTATTATCTTAATTTTTTTGCAAATTTCCGCTTTTATGAATAAAATGCACCGCGAAATCCGAGAGTTAATGAATAAAGCAATAAAAAGTATTGAAAGTCATTTGCATGCAAATTGCATATCAATAATTAGTCAGGCAATACAACGGAAACATTTTTTTCTCATTTTTGTAATCATTTGATTTGAAAATTCTTTTAAAAACAACCATAATGAAATGAAATGCTCAAGAGATCTACTGTACATTTCCGGTATGATTTGTAAAAAGTTTATTAATTAGGTGCAATTAATTGTCGCTCCGACAATACAATAACACAGTACTATTATAGTTATAATTAATGAACTAGAACTTCATGCCGGATTTCCGGATCAAACAGCTATCCGGTCAATGGCATTCATGTAGCAAATCAATATAAATCTACAACTCCCGTCCACAACATCACTTCTCATAATGTCACAATAGAAAGCTATTGTAAATAGCATCACTTCCAAAAGCGAAAATACGTTTACGGTAACTATTAACAAAAAATTTACATTGAAAAATATAGTAAGTTCGATGAGATGGTGCTAGACTAAACGAAAGTCGAGGAATAGAGAAAGATGTGCTGCAATCTGAGGAGGGTAAAGGATGCATGATTTTTTTGAAATAACATGTTATACATAGAAGCTGAAAAGAATTGCAGATTGTGATATTATGCAGTGTTTTGCGTAAACTGAGATTAAACATTATGTGATGCTAGAAGAGACGACAGAGATTGATACAATTGTTGAGCTTATAATTATAACGTTGATTTTAAGTTCCTTTTAATTACAAGTATTGAATTACTCGAATTACTTAAGTACTTGTCTTGTTACATTAGTTTAAATTTCATTCTTTGTTTCATTTCACTTTTTTCCCGAAAAAAAAATTCTTTTTAAATTGTGTCAGATAATAGTTTCCTTTTTTTTTGTCTCATTATTATGTTTTACCTTATATTATTGATTTGAAATATTTGTGAATATTTTGATAGTATTTTCTTCGATCTTCGATCTCCCAAAAATAATATTCCTTCCCAAAGACTTCAAATTAATTTTAATCTAAGAATTTAAAACACCAATAAGAAAATAAAAAAAAAAGGATTGTATCATCTCAGAAAAGAATAGTACCTGTAATATATATTTCGTTAATTTTTTCGATGATATAACTGTTTTATAAGTTTTATGATTAAAATTCAACAACTATCAATCGCTGAAAAAACTACTATTTATTACAGATATTTTTTTTCCATTTACTACCTGTAATAAGCTTGCTTCATATGATATCAACATTTTATTTCGTAATTTGTTTAATTACAGAAGAAAGAAAAAAAAGAGAAATGGTTTTTTGATGAAAAAGATTCGAAATGGCACATTGGTTCCATCGAAATCCAATCAAAGCAACAGAACATGTAGATTTTCAGCTTAAATTGATCCTTACCACTTCGCAAACATCAAAAATTTGCAAGTATGTTTGCAATTTTTATTTACTTTTGAGTTTTACTTTTTCATTTTTGTAACATTTAATGTATTATTTATTGATATACGGATATACAACATTTGCATATTATTATATTATCATTGTATATTATCATATTATTGCATATATGCATATGGTTTAATTTTTGAGGTTTGATGTTTCAGTACAGGTGAGGTGTTTTGCGGTGCTCTGCTTATAATGCATTTTCGCATTATAGCTATAAAGCTTTACTGAGGCAGTTCTATGATGCATTATTGTAGTATTACTGTTGAAATGCATTTTTATAGGATTGCAAAGCGGTTAATCTGAGATTTAGCATTCAGCTCAGCGGTTTACTGTATTCGTTTCAGTGAGCTTCGATTAAGACGTGATCATCTTTTGGAACATTTCAAGAATGCAAGTAACGATTTGGATATGGTAGACGATGACTTCAAACATTATCTATCATTATTTAGTGGTTTTGTGTTTGCTGTTGGATATGATAAAGTTGCTGATACGAAAACTAGCAAACTTGCTACACTTCTTCGATTTCGATGGAGTAATTCGATGCTTGGTACCGTAGCAACGTTAGTATATAATTCTTGATTAAAATTTACTGAATTTTATTTATTTTAGTACGAAATTATTGCTTTCAAATAGGTAGAGTGGGTAATCATGTGTAATAATTTCAGTGAGGTCAGTGACAGTTGGTATGAAGTACTAAATGTGTGTGTAAATATGGCGTTATGGTTATCGAAACATGCAGCATGGATTGCGGCAAAAGATGAAGTATTTAAAGATGATGCTAAAAAGGCGCACACGTGTTTACGGCGTGCTGCTGGAATATTGATATTTGTACGCGAAAATGCTGGTATCTTTTTTTTTACACGGAAAATTGCAAAGGACTTTATTCTTTCCTAAGATTTCGAATGTATTAAATGAGGAATAGGCAGAGAATTATCGTGGTTAACGTTTAATTTATTTTATTTCATGTTTACCCATACTTTTTATCATTTGATTGATTTGTCATGCTATTTCAGGTAGAATTACTGGATTAACTTCATTCCCTGGTTCAGATTTTGATCCAGTAGTGCTTACCGCTTACATCAATCAGTTCACAGCTGAAGCGCAAGAAATTACCGTGGCACGTGCTATCGAGTTGAAACATAGTCCTGGCCTAATTACAGCATTGGCTTATGAGACTAGTCATTTGTTCAAGCAGGCAGGTCAATATTGGCGAAGATTTTTCCTTTTAATTCTCGAGTTGGTTAACTTTTTGTTTAGGTGTATTATTTCACTTTTTATAATAACGCGTATTAATTATCCTCACATTTCACATTTTGGAAATAAGTACAAGCATTATTTATTAGGGGACATTCAGTTCGAATTGTTGTTTGACTGGATGGGCAATTTTTGTATTTAGTGCAATTAAGAAAGAATTAATAAAGTGTGGCAATATTTAGATGAAAGTCTTGGGAAAATGGACCAATCGTTGTTTGGGAAATGGCGCTTTTATCTTCAATTGAAATCACAAATATATACGGCATATGCTTATGCTTTTTTGGGTGAAGATTTATTATCTCAAGATAAATGCGGTGATGCAGTAAGAGCATGCAGAGAGGGCGTTTCATGTTTTGATGTTGCTGTTGATTTTGCTGGAAAGTATCGTAAGGCTAATGGACCAGGTAATTCAGATTTTCTTGTTTACTCACTACTGGAGTAAGAAAAGTCTACGAACATATGGAATTAAATGTAGATAGTGTTAAATATTCAAAAAAAAGTTTTTGGAATTTTTCTGAAAATTTCGTTTTAGATTTTTCGAGATCATTGCTTTTTAAGGTATCAGTGCAAAACCTGACTCTCATCTATTTTTCCGCCGCATTCGACCGCTACTTGAACGGCATATGGAAAAAGCCGAACGTGAAAATGGTTTTATCTATCATCAAAAAGTGCCAGATGTATGTCCAGAACCCGATAGAAAGCCTACTTTTGGTTTGGTTGAAGCCGAGCCATTCATGATTCCTAGCATGAGCCCGGTAATTGATAATTATTGTCCATTTTCACTGGTTTTATAGTTTTAATAAATGGAGTTGAGCTTTAATTTCATTAACTTTGCATCCATTTATCAGGCTTTTTTTACAGCTATGGACACCGGCTGTTTACGAAGCATTTGATATATCGAAAGCAAAAATGCCGGATTTCTCGAAAGTGAAGAAGAGCTGCAAATCATTACCACCCATACAGGAAGAGAAGGTCTATGAAACAGAACGTGATCCAAGCGGTTTGAGTGGTTGCATAGTTTCATGAACCTCTTGGAAGATAACATTCAATGTACTTGTATTTCGCCCTTCTCTAGCGATGTCTTTCCATTCCAGGTGTTAATCTGAGTCTAATTTAAGTTCAGAATCCGAACTTCAAGTTTCGCTTTCGGCCTTATTACATATGTTTAGTTTCTCTCAGGAAATTCAGTAAGGACGTAAGAGATTTTTAAACCGTCTCATCGCTTCAGCTGCTGATCAAGAATGGAATCACAGGATTATTATTGGATCCGATGAAAAGATGACTGAAATTCCGAGAGACAAGAAATGTGAATTTTTGAAACTGGTTGGAATTTTAATATATCTGAAGTTTCAAAACAGATTCGGAAGTTACACCTGATCACTTGTTTCATCACATGCGTCACAGTTTTCCATTGATCCTTTTTTTATTCCCGACCATTTTTATATTTTGATTTTTCTGTATAGGGTTTATTTGAAGTGACTGGAACGGAATCTGTCGTGATGCTCTTTGGCAATTAATGCCGTTGAGACAATTTATTGTACTCCATTTTTTATACTGTAAATCATTTTCAGCCAAAATTTCTTTTTGTTGATTTATGTTTTTTATGGGATTCATCTATCTTGCATTTAGGTGTATTACCGACAAGTACTTTTTTGAGAAGAGAAGACCGTGTAGATAGATAAGTTCCAGTCGTTTTTTCGCAATTTTCAAAAGGAATATTTTAATCAGGTTTCAACTCAAATTTTCAACTGTCCAGAAATTCATAATTTCCAATACTTTCGCGGTGATTTTTCTTTTGTATCTAAATAATGAAGTATTTGGTCTGTAAGGAATTCTTTCATAACTTGTTCTGTATATTATTTTTAATATTAATAAAAAACTGATTTTTTCATTTGAAGTATTTCATTAGACGTTTGTTAACTGATGTTAACTGAGGAAACCTATTGAGAGATTTTCAATATTTTGATCTTTGCGGGTGAATTACAGACAGTCTAGATTTTAAAATTTTGTTGGAATCCAAGTCTAATCGCACAAACTACACATAGTTTGTTAGCTATTGTCAATTTTAACTTTAAACTTTCATATCTTCGCATAATCAAATGTTAC